CACACACACACACTCACACCTCTTTCCCTCTCTTTCTACTTCTCCCCCTCTCTCCTTTCTCCTTCCTCCCTGATCACCCAGCCCTCCACTCCAGATTATAAAATCCTGCTGGCACATGGCTAGAGTCCACGCAGCCAGGCTGGCGCCATCTGGAGATCATTTACTGTTTTACTTTGTGTTTCATTTCTCTTGATCATTTACTGGTTTCCTTTGTGTTTCCTTCCTCTTCAGAGCTCTGAAGGGAAGGGAAACTGTTAACAAAGCAGACCTTACTAAGGCCCCAGGACTTTCAACCCACCTCTAGCTAGAGGCCTCTCCCTCTGAGAGATAATAGACCTCTTCCTGCCTCAGAGTGTAGCCTGGCCCAGTGATAAGCACAGAGGGAAGCCTGGGGCAGGGATGAGTACAGAGTGAATGCTAGCTCAGTGATAAAGACCTCCCATCCTTTTCTTATCACAGGCCTGCAGCAGTTCTTGGAGTGTGTGAGCTCCAGAGAGGCACAGGCAGAGTCTGACTTCTGGCCTGGGTTGGGGAGACACACCAGCAGAAGCCCAGGGACATTTAGGCAGTGAGGCAAGAGAAATATGACACACTAAATACTGTAACAAAATGAGGTTACTTTCTCAATGTCACTCCATGTATAAAAAGCTGAAAACCATTTACACAATTTGTTTCAATGTAGTGAAAATCAATCACATAAAATCACATCATAACCATTAGAAATGGATATTGATGAGTTTTTTACCATACAGTTGAGCATGCCACCTTTTGTACCACATTAATAATATTTAAAAACAAGAACTTAACCCTGCTGAGAAGTCTCACAATGTCTTCTTTCATTGTCTAGAGTGTGTGACACTGAAGCTAACTTCTCTTATTAAAGACATTGATATGAAGTGCAAGCTGGAGAGATGGACCCACAGTTAAGGGCTAAGGTTCACAACCAAAGGATTCAGTTCTCAGCACCCAAGTTTGCCCCTCTGGCTTCTTCTTTGCCAAGCATAATAATAGATATGAAATAAACAAACTGATAAATGAATCAGCAATTAATATCTAATCACATGTATGTAATTATCTCCGTTACTATATACTATAACTGTGTATTTAAAGATGGGAGTGGAGGCATACTTGTTAGATCAGGATAGAAGCAGGATAATGAAGGACACCAGTTCTCTGTGGGAGTGGAGACCATGTACCCAGGCCCTTCTGGAGAGAAAAGTTTTATCATAATATATGTTCTTCACTGTCAAGGCTGAGTGATGCCAGACACACACACACACACACACACACACACACACACTCTCTCTCTCTCTCTCTCTCTCTCTCTCTCCCTCTGCCTCTCCCTCCCTCCCTCCCTCCTTCCCTCATTTCCTTCTTTCCCTTCTTTTTAAGAAATTTGTTTATGTTATATCCTGACCACAGTTTCCCCTCTCTCCTCTCCTCCTGTTCCTTCCCCTCTGCCCCCCCTCCCAATCCACTCCTCTGTTTTCTATTCAGAGAAGGGTGGACCTCCCGGGAATGTCATCAAAACCTGGCATATCAAGTAGCAGTTAAGACTAAGCACCTGCCCTTGTATTAAGGTTGGACAAGGTGATCCAGGATAAGAACTAGCCAAGGACAAAAGCCAGCCAAAGAGTTAGAGACAGCTTCTGCTCCCACTGTTAGGAGTCCCCCAAGAAAGCGAAGGTACTCATATATTGGTACTTATCCCAATTGTCACCAGAGAGACTTCATCCAGTTACTCATGGAAACAGATATAGACCCACAGCCAAA